ATGAATCTCCTTTGTAAAAAAAACAAAGAAACTCGAGTGTTACCGGTGAATCGGAAGTTTCTCCTTTTACGCAACAACAGCGCAACAGTTTACAAAATATATTTTTGAAAAAGTGTTTAAATCCTCCAATTTTTAAATCTCTCTTAGGTTTGTTCACCTCGAATGATGAATCTCCTTTGTAAAAAAAACAAAGAAACTCGAGTGTTACCGGTGAATCGGAAGTTTCTCCTTTTACGCAACAACAGCGCAACAGTTTACAAAATATATTTTTGAAAAAGTGTTTAAATCCTCCAATTTTTAAATCTCTCTTAGGTTTGTTCACCTCGAATGATGAATCTCCTTTGTAAAAAAAACAAAGAAACTCGAGTGTTACCGGTGAATCGGAAGTTTCTCCTTTTACGCAACAACAGCGCAACAGTTTACAAAATATATTTTTGAAAAAGTGTTTAAATCCTCCAATTTTTAAATCTCTCTTAGGTTTGTTCACCTCGAATGATGAATCTCCTTTGTAAAAAAAACAAAGAAACTCGAGTGTTACCGGTGAATCGGAAGTTTCTCCTTTTACGCAACAACAGCGCAACAGTTTACAAAATATATTTTTGAAAAAGTGTTTAAATCCTCCAATTTTTAAATCTCTCTTAGGTTTGTTCACCTCGAATGATGAATCTCCTTTGTAAGCGGAGAAACACTCATTGGCGGGCAAATCATAGAAATCCTACGAAAAGTCAAAATAATAATATTTATTACTCTTAATGTATATTTGAAAATGGAGTAAAGAGTTGTTAATTGACTTTTAATCAAGAAATTTATTAATGAAATTGAATAACTTACATTATTAATCCAATAATTCTGATTTTGCTGACCGTCCGGTTCAGCGCCATCACATCTATCATAACTAAATTGATGAAATTTTAAATAAATATCAAGGAAGTGTCATTCGTGAATATTGCTTTAATTTAATTGCAATTGATTAAATTTACCTTTCTTTCTTCATTTTCTCACTAGAAAATCGCAAACAAACACTTTCGAAAGAACGCTTCATTTCGCTTCAACAATTGAAACAATTGGAAATTGTTACATCGAGAACATTGTTGAAAAATGACATTAAAATTAATGTATGTAATGAACTAGTAAATGTATGGACATAGATAATGATATTAAAGTTTAAAGAAAAAATTCTTGTTAAATGGATACCCCAACAGGTTACTTACAAACTGGAAAGAAAAAATCAACAACGTAAATAATAAAAAGAATCCTGAAAAGAATGAAATAGATAATGGAAAGATTTCAAATGAAAATAAAGTGAAATATATTCCATTTCCTTATATTAAAGGTCTATATGAAAAAATTAATAAAGAAATAAGACATGCTAATGTAAAACTTGCCCCGAAATATAAAAATTTTTTTGCCAGACTAAATAATAATAATACAACTAGGTCAACAGGAAAACAACAAGTGAAAGATACAAAAAACGTAGTATACCAAATTCCATGTACAGATAAAATATGAAATAATATAGAATTGCAAAAGTTATTAGAAATGACGATAGCAAAATTTTAAAATGAAATCTGACAAATATAAGTACAATTTACTGTATAAAAAAAAGTATTTATTTCAAGTTATCATTATGAATAATCTTGTATTTAAATGAAAAAACAACAGTTTGAAATGCAGCGTTTAAATTAAATATTTAACATTTGTTTTCATAAGACTTAAGAATTGTGTCATTACCTAAAATGTTAGTTTTGAAAAAGATATGTAATTCAGATATTACATTAGATAATAAATTTACAGAGAGTTATCAAATTGGAAAAACACGTTTATAAATTTAACAAAATAAATATTTATTTCGGTGGAACCCCGTTTATCCTGCTCAAATAGGTCCGAGCTAATCTGGATGATTGAAAACCAGTAAATTTATTAACGACATAAATAACACAGTTAATATATGTTTAATTTTATTTATTGAATATTTTATATACTTTCACAACAATACTAACAGTACAAAGCAAAAGACATATCTATGTATTGATACAATATAAGTTAAATTTAAATTAGGATACTGTACATTTCAATCAATAAAGAAGTCTGAGTTTATTTTGTTTTAGCTTTGAGTGATACTGCCGTAAAAATAATGCGTCATCAAGTGATTCATATTTTACCTTCTTTATTGTTTCTTGAGTCTGCAGACTGTTTTTGGAAATCATTTTGCAACAAAAGTCTTTGATTTCTTTACAATTCTTCTTCCAATCTGACACAGTAGAAGTCCCAATGCAAAACTTTGCAGCAGTGTTCTTCAAGGGTTTAGCTTATCCATTCTACTGAGTAATTCTAATTTCTTCTTCATTGTTACAACCTTTCTTTCTGTTAGATGTCATTTTCTTGGTGTTTACTTCACAAGAGATCAAAGGTGACTGAAACTCAGTGAAACACTAGTAGCTGTAAGTGTTGAGTGAATAATAATTTGTGAGATAACAAACAATAAACTTATTAACATGTTGACTGTTATGAGAAGCACATTTTTATTCGGTAGGAAAGTAGCAACTTTTTTATAATTGAAAATCTTAAAAGATTCTACAAGATATTAAATAAACTCAAAGAAATCTCCCGTGGAATGCATAACAATGAACATCATGTGCCGATTCGTAGAAAACAAGTCTATTCTTGCAAGCAGGCAAGAATGTACTTAGTTCTCTGATGTTTATAGACTTTCCACATGCCTATATTTCATACTTCTGAAAGAGGAATTATATTTTGTAATTAGGATAAACAGGGTTTCACCATAATTTTATATCTGTTATTTTAATTACATTAAAATATATAATTAGATTTATTGTTACTTATTATATTAATAAAAAGTATATTTAATACAATTTATGCTTATAAAGACTATGAAATATATTACAGTAAAAGCTCACTAAGTCAAACTGTATTAACTAAAAACTGTCTACAGGTTCTGGCCACAGTATATAGAATTTTTCATATAATGCAGTTTCTTTAAGTTAAAATTAACCTATTTTTCCATGTACTCTTCACCCTTTGATAGATCCTTCTTAATTTTCTTTTGTATTCTATGAATACAAATGATTAAGATAAATCCACACCATCGGTCAATGCCAAATACGACACCACACCGTTACCACCTCATATTCATATTCTTTTACTGATGTAGTATGTTATTGACATTTTCATAACAACACAAGAGGGTGCATACTAAAACTGTGTACAATTTTGTAATCATTCTGTGAATAGATTCTTGAGAAATATCTTGGTGGAAATTTTATTTTCATCGAAAAATTTCAGAAAATTGGGTACTAAATTCATTAACTTGAAATTAGGATTTTTTTTTTTTTACCTCATAAAGTCAAAATTCGTGAGGTAATGAGATTTTACTTAATTTAGTAATAGTAATCTTTTATGTACTAAATCTAAACTATTTAAATTACTTGTATTTTATTTATTGAATATTTTATATACTTTCACAACAATACTAACAGTACAAAGCAAAAGACATATCTATGTATTGATACAATATAAGTTAAATTTAAATTAGGATACTGTACATTTCAATCAATAAAGAAGTCTGAGTTTATTTTGTTTTAGCTTTGAGTGATACTGCCGTAAAAATAATGCGTCATCAAGTGATTCATATTTTACCTTCTTTATTGTTTCTTGAGTCTGCAGACTGTTTTTGGAAATCATTTTGCAACAAAAGTCTTTGATTTCTTTACAATTCTTCTTCCAATCTGACACAGTAGAAGTCCCAATGCAAAACTTTGCAGCAGTGTTCTTCAAGGGTTTAGCTTATCCATTCTACTGAGTAATTCTAATTTCTTCTTCATTGTTACAACCTTTCTTTCTGTTAGATGTCATTTTCTTGGTGTTTACTTCACAAGAGATCAAAGGTGACTGAAACTCAGTGAAACACTAGTAGCTGTAAGTGTTGAGTGAATAATAATTTGTGAGATAACAAACAATAAACTTATTAACATGTTGACTGTTATGAGAAGCACATTTTTATTCGGTAGGAAAGTAGCAACTTTTTTATAATTGAAAATCTTAAAAGATTCTACAAGATATTAAATAAACTCAAAGAAATCTCCCGTGGAATGCATAACAATGAACATCATGTGCCGATTCGTAGAAAACAAGTCTATTCTTGCAAGCAGGCAAGAATGTACTTAGTTCTCTGATGTTTATAGACTTTCCACATGCCTATATTTCATACTTCTGAAAGAGGAATTATATTTTGTAATTAGGATAAACAGGGTTTCACCATAATTTTATATCTGTTATTTTAATTACATTAAAATATATAATTAGATTTATTGTTACTTATTATATTAATAAAAAGTATATTTAATACAATTTATGCTTATAAAGACTATGAAATATATTACAGTAAAAGCTCACTAAGTCAAACTGTATTAACTAAAAACTGTCTACAGGTTCTGGCCACAGTATATAGAATTTTTCATATAATGCAGTTTCTTTAAGTTAAAATTAACCTATTTTTCCATGTACTCTTCACCCTTTGATAGATCCTTCTTAATTTTCTTTTGTATTCTATGAATACAAATGATTAAGATAAATCCACACCATCGGTCAATGCCAAATACGACACCACACCGTTACCACCTCATATTCATATTCTTTTACTGATGTAGTATGTTATTGACATTTTCATAAGAACACAAGAGGGTGCATACTAAAACTGTGTACAATTTTGTAATCATTCTGTGAATAGATTCTTGAGAAATATCTTGGTGGAAATTTTATTTTCATGGAAAAATTTCAGAAAATTGGGTACTAAATTCATTAACTTGAAATTAGGATTTTTTTTTTTTTACCTCATAAAGTCAAAATTCGTGAGGTAATGAGATTTTACTTAATTTAGTAATAGTAATCTTTTATGTACTAAATCTAAACTATTTAAATTACTTGTATTTTATTTATTGTAATATAGAAGAATTTATAATTTAGTATTTTTTTTTGTTTTGCTTTATAGCAATGGAATAGCCATAATTTATTCAGTAACGGCAAATCTGTGTCGTATTTTCTTGGTTCCCTCGATACCACATTTATGACATGCTATGCATTGGTAAGCTGATTTTTTTTCTTATCATTACAGATGTAGATTATTATTATTATTATTAATATTGCTTGTAAAATGATCATATAATTTTTATAATAAATTCTTAGTTATTAATTATAAAACATATTAAATTACTTGGTGAATTTTATCATTATCAGAATATTTAAATAGTTTTATCATATTTGTATACCTTTTAACTGTGAGAATACAAAAATAATAAAGTAAATTAAGCAACACATCATCCGAAAATAGAATAAAATATAAAAATGTTGACACATACCACATAGTTTTTCACATTAAGTGTAACATCTGATTTAGAAATAGTGTTTTCAATATGAACACATTATTTCTAAATCAGATGTAATTTATTCAACTGGTTAATTGTTAAAAAGTTGCAAGATTTTCAGTATATGTGCAGAAATTGTGGCGACATTTTAAAATTTTCTAGAGCCAACCAACTCTAGAAAATTTAAAAATGTTGCCACAATTTTGCCAGTTTTAAATTTTTTCTGTCACTTGATATTGTTTATCGCCACCAGTTTTACTTATCAATTAACTTAAGTGCCAGTAGCCTTATCAAAGCAAAAGTAATGTTTTAAACTGTCACTTACAAGGAGAGGGCCAAAAGTTTGGGTCTCCGATTCGAAGGAAACTTGGTGAGCACATAGCCTTAAACACAAACAGCTCCTCATCCAAATAGGATCCACTTCTCAAACATTTCCGAAAAGGTGGCCTCTGAAAATTTAGTGTTTAGCTTAAAGAATTTTCATATCCAGGAGTTGTGATAGCCAAGTAAGAGACACCACTCTGGAACTAGTCGACGTAGGTTCGAATCTTCGGAATTTTAGTTTAGTTTAGTTTTTTTGTGTGAGACATTATTTTATTATTCTGCCACATCATTAGCATTATTATTACTGTTATTATTCCTCACATTTAAAACAAGAAATTGAAAATTGTGATGTCATTTCCTGCTTACAGAAAACAAGCCACTCTAGATTTAACATTTAATATTGTTAAATAAAATTTTTCTTCATAATTATTTTCAGATACAGTGGTATTGTGTCATTCGAAGTGTAACAAACACGAGCGTGCAAGAGTATCGTCCATAATATTAACACTAAATTTTCAGAGGCCCAATGTTTTGAAGCGATTGAGAAGTGGGTCCTATTATTTGGTCAAGGAGCTGTGCTTAAAGCCTACATGCTCATCAAGTTTCATTCGAATCAGTGACCCAAATGTCTGGTCCTCCCCTTGTTAGCAATAGCAATCATTTTTGAATAATTTTTTAATGAATAATTCCAAATAGCACACTGTTTAAACATTGTGATAAAATATTTCACAGGTTCTGTCATGTCAAAAATTTTTGTTTTTGTCTACTGAAAAAAAGATCAAAATAAAAAGAAAGTTATCCCAAAAAAATTCCACAAAATTTCTGTTGGTCGATAAAAAATCCCCACTATGGAAGTGATGGGCGGCATTGAACGAAACTTCCTTTGGCTCTCGACGTCACATTTTACTTTTCTGCTCAAACTTTCCATGTGACATCAGGAAATCGCTAGTGTGTGGTGCACGGGACTCCCATTGTACAGAAGCTTGACATTTTGTTCTTTTTCCCAAAGCATGATTTGTGATTCAATTTTGTGCCAAATATAGAAATAAAGGACTGAGGTTTTTATCACCACTTTAATAAAAATATTGCCAAGTAGCAATTTTAGCACTATGCAACCTGAATTCTGGTTCACGCTGCATAGTGCCTGTATGTGTATCAAAAGTGAGATATATCTACATTTTATATCTCATTTATATAATGCAGATATTTTGTTTTTTATTTTTAGTGTATATGTATTGAAGAATTTTGTTATACTTTTATTCTTTTTGAACAACTATATTTGGTGAGACCATATACATTTTTATAACTAATTCCCAGTTTTGCACAGATAAGGAAAAAAAACGTGTTTTTTCCTTAAATGTTGTGATGTTGGAACCTTGATGTAAACATGTGTCTGATAATGCATACTTCATATGCAGTTTTAAAAACACGCATAAAAATTCATTTATTATTTTTATTGCATACCTTGCAGATGATGATGTTGGGACTGAAGACATGCTTTACAAATTTTAAAGCTTGTTTGTATGATTTCAAGTTTAATTTTTTTGAATGATCATTTGTCAGTGAAAAATGAATCTTTTTTATACATTTACAGTGTGTGTGAGAAATATCACTCTTCCATCCAATTACAAATGAGTGCACAAAATTCAAATGTTTTTGAATTTGAACTGTCTAACTTGCATTCTTTCCAATTCACTCAAATGAACACGTTTGCTACAGAAGCCTCTAATTTTTCAAATTTTCAAAATCCTTTTACAGTAATTTTAATCCAATTAATTTAATAATGTTAAATTTATATTGTTTTCAAAAAATTGTGTAAATATAATATTTAATATTTAATTAAATATAATGGAGGTAATGTATTGTGATTAAAGTTGTCAAATTTCTTCATATGGAGCATGTTCAGAAAAGATTCCATTATGAGAATTTGTTTGAACCAAACTCATAATGGAACAATAGATAATGGACAAAAAGTTAATGCTGAATTATTAAGAAAGTACGTACGAGAGTTTTGATTCAAGACATTTAAAACAGGTCTAAAGTAAAAAATAATCTCTTATGTTACAGTAAAGAATTTTTCCATCTATGATGTAACTGTAGAGTGAAGGGAATTAGGTTAACCAAGTAATCCTCAAATAAATAATTGAATCATATAAATCATTGTGCTCAATGAATCAACTTCATTGTGCACCTCCTACATGTATTAAAATAATGTTTTGTGTTTTGTGATGATATAATTTTCAAATTCCTTATGTCACATATTGTTGCACTGATCTTCGTTCCTTTAGATCTAAAAAGTGTGATGTAATAGATCTAAGATTTGCTCTGGACGGAAGTTAGTAGTATGCATTTCGACCTACAAATTTTACTGTATATTACTGGCACTTTTAATGTGCATAGTGCATATATCCAGCATTTTTGTGTGTATGTGCATGTGCATATATTCTGATTTTTAAATGCAAATAAATCCATCCATCCATCCTTAGTTAAAAGTAATTTATTCGATAATGATAAATTTATTATTGATATTTAACAACTTTCATCTAAATTTAATTGAAATAATGATTTATTTTTACATCATTTACTTAAAGTAAAAATGAAGTTCTTGGTTTTAAATTTTTGTTTGGCTAATTATAGTTTCTGACATGAATTTTTGTATTGTTATTTGAATATTTAATTGGTGATATTTTGGAATATTGTAACAAATCAGTTATAAATCTCAAAACTGCATTCATTTTTGTCATTAATAATATGAATTTTTTTCTCAGATGTAACTTTGGAATTATGAATTATTTTCCATATTAATAATTGTATTTGTTTTTTGAAATCTGTCAAAACCAAAGTTTTCTGGCAGAAGAATAATTCCATCCTAATAGAAGTTATAGTTATGACTTTTACCAATGTTAAAATCAATATTTTGCCTCTATTTTACTTGAAATTACTTTTAAAAAGTGTATATTGGAAAGATGTTAAGACATATTTTGAAATATTGCTTCAGGTTCAGACACATTAAACATTGATAAAAAAATCAATTAAACTGAGCTAAGTCTAAAGATGTAAAATAAAGAACATTTCAGGGGTTTTATTGGAAGGTGATAATTGGATAAACAACAACGTAAGTCTTTCAAAATATCAAAGGGAGTGAGGTATAGTTACAGTGACCATACGTCCTTTATTTAAGAGGACAGTCCTTTATTTCACTGCTCTGTCCTTTAACTTTATTTATTTTCTAAAATAGGCATTTTGTCCTTTATTTTGTAAAGTTGACGCAAAGTTTAAAAAAAAAAATTTAATAATATATTGAACAAGTTAGTTTTGTGTACGCCATCACGATCAGTGTTGCATTGCTACATAGAGCGCAGTAGTGCAGTGTGTCGCCAACCAAACGGCCCACTGACAGTACCAGGGGGTGGACACTCTTATGGGGATTTTTGTGATAGTTTTTTAACTCTCTAGTTGGTGGATGATACACTTGTTAATTAAAGCTAAAGTTAGTTGAAAGAAAAAATGAGGGGTTTCTTCCTATTGTTATTAGAAAAGTGGTCTTAGCATTAGAAAAATCAGAAAATATACAAGCCAAAAAATTCAATGATGCTGTGTACACATTTTATCAAACGTGCATAGATTATCTAAATGATTGGGACATGTTTTTTATTGAAATAGAGGTGTTTGAATGGGTCACATTATGTGAAATCCCTTTGTGGGCGAAGGTAGAGGAAAGCTATATCTTTATTTCGAATCATTGGTCCGTAAATATACTCGACGGTGAATTATTTGATGAAGTTTCATGTGTAAAAAAATATGTCACAAACGAAAAGATCGACGAATGGTGACAGAATAACCAGCCCTGCCATCAAAGGTGGATTGAGATTTTTGAACATTTTACAGCAAAAGAAATTGTTTTCAAAAACGTTTGTAAAATCGTAGAATTTTTTTTGTCTTCCTGGATCTAATGCCCCCGTTGAATGAATATTTTCATTGCTGAATAATATGCGGACGAATGAAAAAACCCATTTAAAAGTAAGCACATTAGAAGCATGTATTTCTGTCAAATACAACTTTCAAATGAACTGTATGGAATTTTATGACTTTAAAGCGTGAAACGGCGCTATAAAAAAATTAATTCTACTGAAAAGTATCAAAATTAATGTTATTTAAATTTTTACAATGTGTGTATGTGTAATAATTCAGATTGCTTAAAATTTTAATGTATGCATTGTTGTATGCTACTATTTTCGTAATAAATGTTATAAACTTATGAATTTTATAAGGTATTTTTTGATTTTCTTCGATATGTCCTTTATTTTCCCCCAAAAAATATGGTCACTGTAGGTATAGTACATCAGCACTTTAATACAATCAAAGATTCTCTTCGTGTGATGGGCTTCCTGATCCTTGATAGTTTAAGCCTACGTCCCTGACATCAGATCGTTACTCTTCAGTGACTTAGAGAGTTCTGGGAGATCATCATCAGTAATACTGTTGGCATACGAGAGCATTGATTTCAGTCCTAAGACTTCCTGTAATGTGGCATTTTTAAAAAAAAAAACTTTTTCAAAATGCCACATTACAGGAAAGTGGTGGTGCCCATCTGCAGCTATTTGGTTTATCTTAACTCTCACTCTTTTATCAAGGTCCCCTGGAAAGGAACAAAGTCTGTGACCCTTTATTGTAAATTATATAAACTTGTATTAGTTGTATTTTGCATGAATGTTTTGAACCAGTGTCATTGTCATCACCAGATACACAAATATTCTATATACTTTAACACAATTAAAAATATTGTTTACATGTGTTTTTCTGTTTAGGGACTTTATGTGAGTGGAGCAATTGGTGATCGTTTTAATCTCAGGAAAGTTTTGGCATTTGGAATGTGTTCCTCATCTATAGCAGTGAGTATTAATTTTTAGCATTAGTTACAATTAGCCAATACGTTAAGAATTGACTCGGTGTCATATAAATTCTAATTACTTTTTCATAATAAAATATTTTATTTCAATGGGAATTTTTACAGGTTGACAGATCATTTTAAATCAGCATATGTGAAAACAATATTATACTTTAATGTAACAAATTTAAAAATCAAGAAAAAAATTCAGTAGTTCATAAGTATGAGAAAGACTTGTTAACCAAATATAAATTCTTTTGATATTTTACTGCATGTACATTGTTTTACTTAACACTCAAATGTTATTTATTATAATAAAAACATCTAGTCCAACATTTACAAGTAAAGACAAAATTTTATTATACCTTGAGTACGCTACATGCAAGCAAGGATAATCAGCACAGTGAGTCACATTCATTAGTTCTCCATGTTCAGGATGTTAAAGCTGAAGAAGCATGATAATGCTTGTTTTTAGTATAACCGTGAAGAAAAGATCTGGTTCAGATGGGAACTCGGAACTCGACGTCACCTACCGTTTGCAGGAGTTAATCTATTATGCTATCCAGGCCCCTGAACCAGGATGTCTTGCCTAATTTTGAAGGAGGAACAAATTACAGAATTTATTAATGCCAGCATCTTCATAGTTCCCTGAAAGATCTTGTTTGACTGTATTTTAGAATGAAGGTAATGGTATTTTAATTTGAAGATTGCAGCAATAGGCCCCAGCATAGCAAGCAAAATGTTAGTTTCCTGTTACTAAATCCAGGTGTCATGATGCTTTAGGCTAGTGACCAACCAAGATCATATTTTAAATCTTAAAATGTTTATTATTTTCCAGAAGTTTAATAATGGTCCCCTATCTAAAAGCATACACTTTTGATAAAATATTTTGCATGTTCTTACTACATCAATACATTGACACTTGTTTTGGCTTATACTGCTGTAACTATTAAAACTAATTTTTATTTCTATTATAAACAAAGCAGGCTGTATGTGTGAAAACCGTGATAGTCCCCCCTCAAATTTTGAAAATAAAGTGTTATTTACTAACATTGAAACATTCTTTTAGGTTAATCTAGAAGAAAATAGCTATGTTGTCAATCATCAGCAGAGTGCAATGGACATCTTTTAAATTAAATTCTAGTTCTGTTTATTGTGCATGAAAGTTCATTCTTGATTCATTCAGTGTTGAACTTTCATGCACAATAATTATTATAAATACAAAACCAAATAATACTGTAATTAATTGGGCTATTTAATTAATAATTTAATGTATGTGAAACCCGATATTGTTATTTTGTAAATTAACCTGTAAAGATTTTACGTGGATAAGTTTAATTTGTTTCAAAAATGTTATTTACTACATTAGCATTTTATTTAGTTTATCTAATATTAATACAAAATTTTCGGGAAAATTTTTTCAAAAGTTTGTTAATTAAAAATATCAGGATTTGAAATTGGGACAAGTATAGTAGTAGGAATAGATCTTAGTGTGCTGCCATGTCACCTTTAACAAAGATTTTAATGTCCATTATAATTATCATTGAACAGCCAATCAAAATGCTTTTGATTCAGGACCTTACCATACATTTTACATGCAAAAATGAAAATATTGTGTAACTTAACAATGGATTGCAAGAACTGCAGGGAAAACATTCAGCAGATAATGAAAGATGTATGGATGAATAATATACACGTTCTTTGAAATAATCTGCATGTGGAATGCAAGCCAAGCCATAGACAGACGCACTTGCTATTTCATTGGGAACAGTGTCAGGTTACCTATCTTTTCACATTTGGATTTTCTGCAGATCGCACTCTTGTTCGTTTTTTCGTGGAAATTATTTTATGTAGGTAACAATATTAGACACCGTTGAATTCGCCTCGGTGAGAGGAAGACTCCAGTACCAAAACTCTGGAGCTAGGCATATATTCAGAAGTTAGAAAGTCTTACTGAATCTTTAATCCATTGTAACTGTTTAAAAATAGATATGACCATTATTATATGGAGTTGGATTAGTTTTTCAAGGTCACTCTGTATTTCATAGAATATTTAGTTTTTCCTAATTTTATTAACAAAACTAACATTTATAGCTGACCTGGCTAATGTTAAAAGGTAACGTTAATATTATGTTGTCCCCATGGAGCTTGAGTGGGGAAGGATTTGAGGACCTAAAAGGACACTTAAAAAATAATAATATTGGAATTCAGAAACATACTGAATTCGTTACAAGTTGCATTCAACGGGTGATTGATATATATGAAGGTGGCATAAAAATAAACAAATTTAAAGAAATCTCCAATAAATTAGACATACTTTTTCAAGAACCCAAGTTTGGTTTTTTATAATTAACTCAAAGGCTACTGGACAAATCCTACTTTACAGTCAAGTTCTTACAAATAAAATGGAACTCAACCAATTAACAATACATTGTCAGAAAAACCTGGTAAGGATTTCTTGTTTATCTATGATAAAAGTGAAAATACAAAAAAACTAATTAGGGAAAGTGTTAAACCAGCAGAACTAAAGATAGGTGTCCAAAGAATTAGAAATATCCATAAGGGTGGTATCGCAGTTGAGCTACACAAGGAGGAAGATTTAAAAACCTTAAAAAGAGTGATTAATGAAAAAAATCCCACAATTTTCGACAGTGCTACCACTATTATTATTAAAATTGTCCCAAATCAGCAGAATAAAGACGATAATATAAATGACATCCATAGACAGAATGATTGCTTTTTAGGTCTTCAAGTTTATATAATTGATTCATGCAAACTAATCTTAAAATTCTCGGCAGGAACAAGGGGTAGAGAATTCACCAACTGGGTTTTGCAGGCATCCCCTCACATACGAAATCCATTAATATACAATGGTCGAGGTGCAGTGTCACAGACTTTTTCCCAGTAACTCAATGCTTCGGGTGCTTTAGATTCAGACACATGGCTAAAGATTGTAAAGAGGACCACAAAACATGTACTCACTGCACTGGGACACACAATTACAAAGAATGTAATAACAAAAAAGAAACCCCTATTTGTAAAAATTGCATGGCAGAAAGATTTACAAATACCAGTCACAATGCAATAGATCACATATGCCCCATTTATCAGAAAAAATATAATTGTTGCAAAAACAGACTACGGAACAAAAAATTAAAGATACAGTTAGTATCCTGCAAATTAATCTCGGCAGAGGAAGAGACGCAACATCATTGCTCTTGACAAAACTTCAAACCTATGATGTGATTCTTGTACAGTACAAGAATCATATTGTATTAACAATAAACCTGCTTGTTTACCCACAAAGTATAATTCTTCAGGGAACTAATGAATACCCATGGAGCATTATTATTCTGAACAATAAGAACATACTGTACCTATTTTATTTCACAAAAATCATAGCAACCAATACATTACCTGCTGTGAAATTTATGGATAGGACATTAAACTGTTCATAATTAACATATATTGTCCCAAAGGAATCGATCTTCAAGATATATTAGAAGAAATCAATAAGATAATTAACGTCAACAACATTCATAGAGAAACCAGACACAAAATAAACATAGATATTAACACCCCTGACATACCCCGTTTCACACGTAAAGAGGTTGACAAAATAATCACTAAAACATTATTATTGATGGGGATATTAACTTGCACTACCCAACTTGGGGAGGTGACAAACTCGACAAAAGAAGAGGAACTTTTGAGCAGTTCTAAAAACATCTGTTACTCACCTCCAACTTTTGAATAAGGCAGAGGAAAAAATTGGAAAGACATCTTGGCCAGCTCCTCTAACATTCACAAATACAGTAGAGCGTCGATTTTCCGAATCAATTGGGGACTGGGGTTGTCCGGATAACTGATTTACGTACGAAAAAATAGTTTAACGTATCTGATTTNGGTGAATTTTATCATTATCAGAATATTTAAATAGTTTTATCATATTTGTATACCTTTTAACTGTGAGAATACAAAAATAATAAAGTAAATTAAGCAACACATCATCCGAAAATAGAATAAAATATAAAAATGTTGACACATACCACATAGTTTTTCACATTAAGTGTAACATCTGATTTAGAAATAGTGTTTTCAATATGAACACATTATTTCTAAATCAGATGTAATTTATTCAACTGGTTAATTGTTAAAAAGTTGCAAGATTTTCAGTATATGTGCAGAAATTGTGGCGACATTTTAAAATTTTCTAGAGCCAACCAACTCTAGAAAATTTAAAAATGTTGCCACAATTTTGCCAGTTTTAAATTTTTTCTGTCACTTGATATTGTTTATCGCCACCAGTTTTACTTATCAATTAACTTAAGTGCCAGTAGCCTTATCAAAGCAAAAGTAATGTTTTAAACTGTCACTTACAAGGAGAGGGCCAAAAGTTTGGGTCTCCGATTCGAAGGAAACTTGGTGAGCACATAGCCTTAAACACAAACAGCTCCTCATCCAAATAGGATCCACTTCTCAAACATTTCCGAAAAGGTGGCCTCTGAAAATTTAGTGTTTAGCTTAAAGAATTTTCATATCCAGGAGTTGTGATAGCCAAGTAAGAGACACCACTCTGGAACTAGTCGACGTAGGTTCGAATCTTCGGAATTTTAGTTTAGTTTAGTTTTTTTGTGTGAGACATTATTTTATTATTCTGCCACATCATTAGCATTATTATTACTGTTATTATTCCTCACATTTAAAACAAGAAATTGAAAATTGTGATGTCATTTCCTGCTTACAGAAAACAAGCCACTCTAGATTTAACATTTAATATTGTTAAATAAAATTTTTCTTCATAATTATTTTCAGATACAGTGGTATTGTGTCATTCGAAGTGTAACAAACACGAGCGTGCAAGAGTATCGTCCATAATATTAACACTAAATTTTCAGAGGCCCAATGTTTTGAAGCGATTGAGAAGTGGGTCCTATTATTTGGTCAAGGAGCTGTGCTTAAAGCCTACATGCTCATCAAGTTTCATTCGAATCAGTGACCCAA